TTATTTACCTACTAGGCTTGGAAACAGCTTTTTTGCCTTCGAAGTACTAAACAGGAGGGGTACCTCGGATTCCAAGTGTCGTGAGTGACCCGTGGAAGCGAAAATCAAGACCAAAAAGAACGAATATTTTGAATACTTAAGTAAAGCCACAGCTAAAAAAAAAAAAATTTTTGTTCAAAATATTTTCAAACCAAGAAAAAAAAACATACTTCGATCATCCCCGTGACTTGGAATCTGGCCAGAGTACCCCCTCCCCTCCCCCCCCCTCCCCCTCCCCTATGCCGGGTCAAAATACTAAGTTCCCCCGGCCAAATGTCCCATAGTCAAGGGAGTATACTCTCTTGCTGTAGTAAAGAACTTGCAGAATAATACCAATTCTCCGTGGCCAACGGATTCAACGCTATAGTTTACTTTGGTTTTCGCTATTTGCTCACGATCAGGAGCCTATAACCCCAACCGCGACCAAATTATGAAACCTGTTATTACCAGAAAAAAAAAAACACAAAGAAACAGTCAGTCAGATAGACAGTACATAATAAAAAAGACCTCGATTAAGATTTAAAAAAATCAATACATGACACTGTCGAATACGAAAACCCAGAAACCATTTTGTGGAAAAAAGGTTCGTATACAGCTGTCAGCTGCTTTTGTCCACAACTCGCCGGTAGAGGTGCGCGGAAACTAGTGATTGTGAAATGGCTTCAAACTATGATCCTATACTGTTGGAATATTACTTATCACAGAAAGCTACATCTGATTTCTTCTAGCAGACACAATCCTCTTGGTTCGTGTGGACAAAGTAGCTCATCCCGGCTATTTGCACCATGCTACCATAGTCTCCCTAGATTCCCAAGCCTCGCACGCAGACTTTCCTGTCCCACGAACGTTGGGTAGGATTATAGGACGAGCCAAAAGAAAGTGAAGGCTATAGGCTCTCGCGATGATGCAAGGAAGGTCGAGTATTATATTCCCCTATCCTGGTCGCCCAGGGTAAGTCTTCGGAGGAGAGTGACTTAGGGGTCGTATGTTCGAAAAGTTGACTAACGCCCCCGGGACTAACGCTTTCCCCTGGATAAATCTATATCCAATAAGTAACGCAATTGCTTCTTCTTATTCGCTTGATAGTGATTTCCTGTTGTTCAACGTTTGAACAACAGGGCCCTAAGTATTGTGTTTCGCCTTGCACTAAAAACCCATAAACCTTATAAATTTCACTATGGGACTTCAGCACCTCCCTTGAATGATCCATTTCGCTAAACGGGACCTCAAAACAATGATTCTGTGCATCCTAAGGGAGTGTATACTATACGTTCCTGACTCTCGTCACTCACAGTGAGGTGATGGTGGCTCATACTCTAATAGACCTAACACAGTCGAACCTCCATGTGCGACCGCCAATCCAAAAGACCAAATTTTCCCATTCAAAGCCTTATATTTGGAACCTCCAGTAAACGACCTTCTGTAAGTGACTGCGACCACTTTTTGGGCGTCACGGTTAATTGTTTTCCATAAGCGACCAGTTGACGCATTCTCTGCTCTCTATTTTTGCTGTGTGCACTATGTTCCTTGGAAAATATAAAGACCTTTAGTGACATCGTGGAACTACACATATCCTAACTTAGTAGATGTAGCCAACAAAGTGAAGATTCTGTTGTGATTCTAGACTATTCTATATCTCACTCACCTGAATCCCTCTTTAAATTGAGCATGATTTAAAAGCTGTATTTTTCAAAAGAGGTAAAAGATAATATTTTGCCAGGAATTTGTTACACCGCCATTTAATAGAAAGTGCCCGGACCTCTTCTCGGAATAGACCCCATGTGGTCCGATTCTTCTAAACGGCCACCTCCCGTTAGAGACCATTAAGTCTTTGCATTTTTTAATAAAGGGGATCTGGAAGGGGGCATGGATGCGACAATCACATGCCAGGTCGCTTACTTAAAATAGTGGACATCTAACTGACAATCAAAGTTTGTGCTTATTATTGGGGTTATCTGGTGTTTACTCACCTCCCAAGCTACCCTGGGCGCGAGCCAACTTTTCATCCATTTCCTTACAAAACTTGGTAAACCATTTACATGAGAAACAAAAGGTTGGTTCGGATAGACGCCTTACTACCAGTAGTGGGCGGGGTTGAGGGCTTCCGGAAGTCAGCCCTCCACTGAGCCGGTAGTGGTGGCCTCACCCTTCTAGCCCGGCTAATATTTCTTCACTTTGGCTCGCCCAGCTAGCTGGGACGACACGGTCAAGGCTAGACAAAGACAGCATGCGCAAGCACTGTTGACTCGGACAAAGTGGTCAGTTTTTTCCTCATACAAACGCTCGCAAAAGTTGGCTCGGCTGGGAGGTTGACCTTCTCTCCGGCACAGCTTTTCTCCATCCATGGGTTCCAAACAGTCTTTTAGCAGTCACGTTTGAAATTTATAGGAAAATGATGTAGCACTTCAAAAAATAATAATAATAATAAAAATACACTTTTTTCACTGCCTGTCAATGCCTGTCAATTCACGGCCGGATTCTGGCGCAGTCGCTGAGCAAACGTACGTTTGTCTTTTGCACCTTTTGGCTTAAAATTAAGGATTTTGTGACTCAAATCGACGCAACAGAAGTTGGAAATAACTTTCCTTGCCGTAAAAACGTGTTACAAGCAATGGTGAGTAATCCTTTCATGTAAAACCTTTCTTTTAGTTTGACAACCGTCCGCAAGCCGTCTAATTTGCATAAATTTCCCAATTCAATTGCTCTCACCGCTTGCTTTGGTGTCAGGATGATATTTGATTTCCAGAGCTAAAACTTTCCAGTAAGTTAGTACAAAAGCCAAGGTTCGATTTTATATTGATTTTATGATCAAGCGGCATATACCAGAGGCCTTTTTTAATAGTCAAAGTTGGCCTTCGTTTTCTAGCATGTCTAACGTCACAAATATGACCTCTTTAGACTTGTCGATTATAAAAATATGACATTGTTTTTCAAATTTTCTTTTAAGGTTTTCAAGAGTAAGAACAAAATAATAATTCGGTGAAGTTTCAATGTCAGGGAATGTTTCTTACGCGTTCACCCTTCTCTCGAAGTTGCAATTGCATCCTGCCGTGTTTTGTGCGAAAAACAGGAATAAAATCGATTTTTCAAACTTTTTTTAATTTCTCCTTTAAAATGAATCGTTTGAACCCAAAACTATTTTTCCTTAAATTAGGTCACTAAAAGGGATGTTTTGGCAAAATAATAAAAAATTCGATTTTTTGACGAGTGTCTTGCGATTCTCGATTTTCTCAGAAAATGGCTCTTAAGGATGGTCTGTCTTTGTTGCGAAGGGAGCGGCCGTGCGCCTGAGACCGTGTCGGTGGAACAAAATAGCGAAGACGGAACTCGGGCATTGAACCACAAGGGCTCGCTGAACAGGCAACTCGTCCTTCCTTATGTCGATGCCCTTGATCTTTTTTGCTCGCTCCTCCTCAGGAATGTCAATTAGGAATGGCTCACACAACATCACCGCTGTTGCTGACTCATTTTGTTAACTTAAAACCACCACGTGAAAGTAAAGTGCTTAAACTGCCAACATGCTCAACGGCTTTCTGCTCGGCAGGGAGGGACTTCAAACAATCATCCATATAACAGTGTCTTCTAGCCCTTTTAATGACGTTAGGAGGTAAGCTGTGATGATTATCTTCTGGTGTCTTGCGGAGTTCAACTAGTTTCTAACTGTGACCGGTGTTTTGGGGCAAATACACTTTAATTACCATTTATTTGAAACTTACAAACAACGCCCGCCAATTTTCGCGATAGCTTGCTAGATACGTATTTCAGACGTAGTTTTTTTTATTGTTCATGTTCGTAAACGTTTGACCTTAGCTTTGTATAGAAATAATGATATTGGCTCATTTCTGTTGCTCTTTCAACTCAAAAGTGAGATTAAAGCCAATAAAGTGCAAGATTTGATGAACCAATGTTAAACAAAAGTTTAGTTAGCCGTCTTCAAGAGTGAGTGGAGCATTACGACATCGCTAGGTGCACATAAAGTGAGTGCCATTTTTTGTCAGATTCGTCTTTTTTGTTAAATTTGCTACTTTACAAGGTGCCATCCCGTTGGAATTTTGAAATACCTTATTTCCTCCAATAAGTGCTTCCCCCTCTCATCTAGGAAAGATGAGAAAACTAAGAATCGGTAACGAGATGCCACACAGTAGATATTAAATACAGTATTTTTATTATTCTATCTTTTTTCCCATTTAGAATTTTCTTTGGAATATCATTATGACGTCATGTTTCACGTAACCACATAAAGTCAACCTTAATCTTCAGGCCATTTCCGAGTTCCCTCGGGCCTCTGTATTAAAACGAGGTTAAGTGCTCAAACTTTGATGTGGAAATGACTTTTCATTATCATGCAACCTTTAAAATTATAATGCATGGACGGTTTTATCTTCGCTGGGCTCGACAACAAAAAATTGATCGATGCCTTAACATGCTTGAGGATCCCGACAGTTCTTTTAATCAGGCTTATTATCCCCTTGCGAAACCTTAATTAAAGGACCTTAACTTATTCGTATCCGCTTCTGGATAACGTCGATGTACTAGTAAAATAACATCTACTGCCTATGCGACAAATTTCGGTGGACATGCAACTTTCCTCCTCAGTTCCCTTAACTTGTACCCAGCCAACGACACACTTTTCGGAATCGATGCATTTCCTCAACACCCTTCGTTTTTGCTTTAATTGAACTCAATGATCCACACAGATCAAGCACCATTTTTCATTTACTCCAACCTTAAATATTTATTACAAATCTCTCCTACAAAGTAGCACTTTCTAATGGACTAAGCGAGTTTTAAAGACTTCTAAGCTTGTATTTACTCCGGCGGCAAAACGTCGTTATTTAGAAACCTGTTTGAATCAACAATGGCTAAAGACGATTTTAAGTGGAAATGTTATTCGGTTATTTTTAATTCTAAATATATCCCCTTGATTCATGTGGTTATTGGTGCAGTGGCTATCCTTTTTTTTAAATCAAATACGCGCCAAAGTAGGTGTGAACGCTCCACATGAAAATTTTGCAGTTGTTGTGAGCTGAAGTGATCGTGATGATGTCACCAGCTTTCAGGTTGAAAACCCCGCCTCCGTACAGGGTACCATGGTCGCCTTTCCCTGGGGTAGGGGGCTGAGTCATGGTCACCACATTGCTGTTCACACAAACTTGGACCCTTCCATTGCTGTGATAGTAGACCTGCAGGTAGACATTGTACCGTCCAGTGGTAGGCACAGTCAGTTTTCCATCATTGTACTTCATGCCGCCTGTAAGATGACTGTACGGGGCAGTAACAGACCAGTCTTTAATCACTGTGCGATTAAAAGACAGTTGATGTTAATTATTGTGTTTTCCACTAACGCACACTATCATGACGTAATCCAGGGCTTATATTTATTATTTATACATGCGCTAGTCCACTTCGGAAAAACAAATGGACGAATTTAACATTTTGATAAGTGTTCCATAAATTACTGTCTATATTTGAATGATCTTCTTCTTGTTTGTAACACTGAGCTTTTATCTTTTTATACACATTTATTAAAGTGTGTTAAAACATCGAATTTTACAAAAGACAATCTAAACAAGCTGATTCGATGTTATTTGACCATTGACAGACTCGATGTTATGGTTAATGAAGTTTAGTGGTTGGTTAAAGGTGTAGGGAATGGTTAAGAACGCATATACTTTGGTTGGCTTGATAGGTCACGACTTGTCTGTTTACAGATTCGATGTGAGCAGATGGCTTGTTTGGATTCTGTAAAGCAAAGAACAATACGTGTGCCATACTCATATCATACTGTGCAAACAAAGAACAATATCATACTCATATCATACTGTAAAACATAGGACAATATCATACTCGATCATAATCAACCTGCTCATGAAAGAATAATATAAGTGGCACTTATTTGAGGAAAAATAATTTATAAGACAGAAAGTAAGAACGTTATTTTCTCTTATTCTACTCAAGAGTTCCTACTTCGATTTGTTTCTTTAACCAAACAGTTTTCAGAAAATTTCGGTTTTGTTTTGTTTTTTAATGTTTGTTACTGTTACAAGTTTTTTAACGGCTTTTCAAGGTGAATAGGTTTGTAATATTTTCACCATAATAATCTTAGTTTTTAAACTGTTGCTTTTACCTGTAAGGAACATTGGCAGTTACTTCCGTTGTTCCCTTTGGATCCCATGTCTCCTTTCGAACCTTTTTCACCCTAAAAATACATGATACACACAAGTGACGTGCTATGCGGATATATAGTACTACAAGCGGTATCTCAGGAAAGTGGTTGTATGTTACCTTTGCGCAACCATTTCCGTAAACATTGATGTTGATTGGCTGCTTAGAATCTGCGCAAATTTTCTGTTGATTAAGAAAAAGTAGGAAAATTAAGGAGTTGAATGCAAGAGGATTTTGAAAACATTTTGTAATCTCTATGGATTTCCTTCAACGAACGCCATTTTTAACAGTCAGTAATTTTTAACTAAAAGGAAGTAAGCTTATCAACTCTAAAATACTTTGGGACTATTTGGGAGTGCGATCGACTTTTTATCTATCGATATTAAAGGACTAGCAAATACTACCACACGGACGATGACATAAGTAAGAGAACGGTGGATCATCTTACTTGATTTCCTGAAATACTTCCCGCTTCGCAGAAATACAAGTTGGCATAAACCGACGCGACAATGATAAACACGAGCTTCATGTCCTCGACAGCTCTTGGATGTTACCTGTAAAAAGTGATTAGAGAATGAAGCCGTAGACTGTAGGCTGATGATTCATACTATCTGTTTTGTTTACTTTTTTTTAAGAAGTTTAGAAAAACAAGTATTTTTCACTAAGAAATGATGCAATAACTCATGACGAGGCATTCATATCATAACGAGCTGCACGGTCTTAGCAACCAAAAAAACCCATCAGTATCCAGCTGAGATAGCTGAGTAAAAGTCAGCTATCTCAGCTGGATACCCAGTAGCTTGCAACATTCCCTATTCCCTTAATCTCTGATCGTATTTCGCATCTAATATGATAGAGGCGTCAATTTTCACGCAATCATGTCATCATCCTGGGGCGACAAATAAAATTAATTAAAAATGCGGTATCAAACAAAATGTCCGCAAAAAATAATTCAGTGCCTTCTAAAAAGAACATTTTAAAGTCTGCGGTCGATTTCATTGCCAACGTGTTATATATCCTAGAAGCGCTCAGGCATAATAACATCATGCCAGGACTTCTACCTGGGTGAACCAGAAAGGATATAGAACAACTGCCTAATTTCTTTTTTTCGGCTACGGATCGAAATGCTAAACGTGTTATATATCCTAGAAGCGCTCAGGCATAATACCATCATGCCAGGACTTCTACCTGGGTGAACCAGAAAGGATATAGAACAACTGCCTAATTTCCTTTTTTCGGCTACGGATCGAAATGCTAAACGTGTTATATATCCTAGAAGCGCTCAGGCATAATAACATCATGCCAGGACTTCTACCTGGGTGAACCAGAAACGATATAGAACAACTGCCTAATTTCTTTTTTTCGGCTACGGGTCGAAACGCTAAACGTGTTATATATCCCAGAAGCGCTCAGGCATAATACCATCATGCCAGGACTTCTACCTGGGTGAACCAGAAAGGATATAGAACAACTGCCTAAATTTTTTTTTACGGCTACGGGTCGAAATGCTAAACGTGTTATATATCCTAGAAGCGCTCAGGCATAATAACATCATGCCAGGACTTCTACCTGGGTGAACCAGAAAGGATATAGAACAACAGCCTAATTTCTTTTTTTCGGCTACGGGTCGAAACGCTAAACGTGTTATATATCCTAGAAGCGCTCAGGCATAATAACATCATGCCAGGACTTCTACCTGGGTGAACCAGAAAGGATATAGAACAACTGCCTAATTTTTTTTTTACGGCTACGGGTCGAAATGCTAAACGTGTTATATATCCTAGAAGCGCTCAGGCATAATAATATGCCAGGACTTCTACCTGGATGAACCAGAAAGGATATAGAACAACTGCCTAATTTTTTTTTACGGCTACGGGTTGAAATGCTAAACGTGTTATATATCCTAGAAGCGCTCAGGCATAATAATAACATGCCAGGACTTCTACCTGGGTGAACCAGAAAGGATATAGAACAACAGCCTAATTTCTTTTTTTCGGCTACGGATCGAAATGCTAAACGTGTTATATATCCTAGAAGCGCTCAGGCATAATAACATCATGCCAGGACTTCTACCTGGGTGAACCAGAAAGGATATAGAACAACTGCCTAATTTCTTTTTTTCGGCTACGAGTCGAAACGCTAAACGTGTTATATATCCCAGAAGCGCTCAGGCATAATAACATCATGCCAGGACTTCTACCTGGGTGAACCAGAAAGGATATAGAACAACTGCCTAAATTTTTTTTTACGGCTACGGGTCGAAATGCTGAACGTGTTATATATCCTAGAAGCGCTCAGGCATAATAACATCATGCCAGGACTTCGACCTGGGTGAACCAGAAAGGATATAGAACAACTGCCTAAATTTTTATTTACGGCTACGGGTCGAAATGCTAAACGTGTTATATATCCTAGAAGCGCTCAGGCATAATAACATCATGCCAGGACTTCTACCTGGGTGAACCAGTAAGGATATAAAACAACAGCCTAATTTCTTTTTTTCGGCTACGGGTCGAAACGCTAAACGTGTTATATATCCTAGAAGCGCTCAGGCATAATAACATCATGCCAGGACTTCTACCTGGGTGAACCAGAAAGGATATAGAACAACTGCCTAAATTTTTTTTTACGGCTACGGGTCGAAATGCTAAACGTGTTACATATCCTAGAAGCGCTCAGGCATAATAATATGCCAGGACTTCTACCTGGATGAACCAGAAAGGATATAGAACAACTGCCTAATTTTTTTTACGGCTACGGGTTGAAATGCTAAACGTGTTATATATCCTAGAAGCGCTCAGGCATAATAATAACATGCCAGGACTTCTACATGGGTGAACCAGAAAGGATATAGAACAACTGCCTAAATTTTTTTTTTGCGGCTACGGGTTGAAATGGTAAACGTGTTATATATCCTAGAAGCGCTCAGGCATAACTATATCATGCCAGGACTTCTACCTGGATGAACCAGAAAGGATATAGAACAACTGCCTAATTTCTTTTTTTCGGCTACGGATCGAAATGCTAAACGTGTTATATATCCTAGAAGCGCTCAGGCATAATAACATCGTGCCAGGACTTCTACCTGGGTGAACCAGAAAGGATATAGAACAACAGCCTAATTTCTTTTTTTCGGCTACGGGTCGAAACGCTAAACGTGTTATATATCCCAGAAGCGCTCAGGCATAATAACATCATGCCAGGACTTCTACCTGGCTGAACCAGAAAGGATATAGAACAACTGCCTAAATTTTTTTTACGGCTACGGGTCGAAATGCTAAACGTGTTACATATCCTAGAAGCGCTCAGGCATAATTATATCATGCCAGGACTTCTACCTGGATGAACCAGAAAGGATATAGAACAACTGCCTTTTTTCCTACGCGTCGAAGTTCTAAACGTGGTATTCTTAGAAGCGCTCATGATTTTAGCTGATTTTGCGGTGCGCAAGAATGGATAATTTACCCGACTTGTAAACAGATATTTCCTTCAGCCGATTGTGTCTCATGCAGGAGAATGTCATGTCTGCGTTGTTTTGTTTCCACTGAAGTTTTATCAAAGAAAGCTTAATAGGGAGATCGCAATTTATACTCTTACGAACTATAAATTAGGGCTGACCTGGAAGACGCGTTGAATTGTGCCGCCATCCTTCAAAATATAATCTGGCTGCGTTTAGGGAGACAATTTTCTCTTCCATCCAGATTTACTTGGTATATGTGTTTGCGAGAATCTTCAGACAAAGAATTGGGTATACACTGATTCGAATGGCTTGGCGATACTAAGTGCTTAAGTCTACTTACCGATTACAACATGTTTTGGAAGTATTGAGGAGCGCGCCAAACGAAGTTGTCACAACGTTCTCGAGCGAACACGGCGCGACCTGGATTGATAAAATTAATTTTACATGCAGCTATCATGCCAGTGATTTCTCCTTTCGTCGCATACATGAATAGTTTGTGAGCACATCCTCGACTCTCGAAACATTTGTCTTGCGCCGCTATAGAAGTTGCTTCCCCCGCGAACCATAGGTAGATTTCCCGGTTAACATCATGTTTGATAATTTATGCAAAAGTTGACCTCGTGAAAGTCAGCAGTGCATTAATCGACTCAAAAATAAACAGACTTCCTACAGGGTTTTGAACACGGTTTTAATTAAAGTACTTTACGAGCGCTGCGGTAGTTGACCGCAAAAGTGTTACGGTGATGGATACTCAACTGGATGATTACGTCACTTCATAGCAACCAGACGGTACGAATTTTTTAACTTCCGGAGCGCTGAGGCTCGTAGTGTTATTCATATAACAGGACTTGAATTTCGTTCGTGTTTCAGAATTTTTTATGGGTCTTCACTTTCAGCTACTTTCACCACCGATAACAACTGTTTCTTTAAGGTCCAAGCCTAAACTTGAAGTGTTATTAAGAAAGGCCTTATACTTTCGGTCTAACTTTTAGCAGGTACCAAAACTAGATTGCACGGTCATTCTTCTTTTTTCCATGTACTAATTAAGATGATTCCTTTGGATAAAAGCATTTTGTGAAACTGAATATTTATTCTGTTTTAGTACAACGATTACTTTCTTCTTGTACGTTCGCGGCCAAACTTTAATATTAACCGCAACAGTCTATACTAATTGCATATTTTACACTCTATATTGTGACGACCGTGCGATTCAGTCCTTTGATCTTTTTCACTACAACGCAGATGAACCATGATCCAATTTACATATAACAAGAACACGCTTACAGCGGCATTCAGGTATCGACTGCTTGGAGATTGGATCGAGAAATGAGGAGGCGATTAATACTACAAGAAACATGATTTACTCGCTAAAGATTTTTTACTTCCTTCTTTATCGACGTCGATACTTCTTATCTTGTTTCTGAATTGATGTAGTATGCGTGTTAGCGACGACCAAAAATATCTCTGCGGTAGCAGCCTATACGCGTGTAATTTGCTAATTAAGATTCTTATTTTTTTCGACCGCTCAGTAGTGTTCACTCGCTCCAAAGTAATCGACGCTTTCAAGCGATAGAATTCGTGGACCGACACGTTTTGGAAAAGCTCTAAATTTAATCTTTCTTAAGCTTTCTTCGCAAAACATGCGTGGCTTCCATCACGCAAAGATTCTTAGTCCCAGTTTCCACGGTCTCCGCAAGGAACGCCTGGCACAATGACCTGCTTTTTGTATCCCAAAAATTCCGGGGGGGTACTTCCAGAAAAATTGGGAGGGGGTGTGCAGCACGCTTCTTGAAACCCTTACCCTATTTCAGACCAAAATCTGTGATTTTCCCTACCCTATTTCAGACCTGATCAAAAATTTGATACCTGAAGGCCGGGAGCCCTTCGCGTGACCGGAGCGCGTGACAAGCTGTTACGGCACGTACACGGTAGTTGGCGTAAACATTGAAAGGGAATGGTCTTATTACCAAATGATGAAGACGTAGCTAATTCTTCTAAAAAACTTACCCAATTCAAGACTAGAGTGCACAAACCATACCCTATTTCAGACAAAATGGTCGATTCAGACCAAAACCTAAATAGCCTGTATAGCCTATATAAGACCTATATAGCCTATATAAGGGACTACTCCCCCCCGCCAACCGGGGCGAAAAACGGGTTGCAGATTATGAGTCTCGCTTGCGTAAGTTGACTCCTGTGCTTTTTCTTGCGCTTTCCTTAAGATATAACATACTTTCAGATGTAAATTGATTTTTAGTCTTTGATCGCCTTAAAGTTATGAATAAGATTTCATGGCCCCGAATTTCTATCAGCTTTTGTATCAGCTTGCATGGGGCATAAAATGCATGGGAAACGATCATCAGCAGTCCAATGCTACTTTACATCTTTTTAACAACCCTTTTTATAATTGAACCCTTCTGCGATTTGATTAATTACCCGTGATTTAAACTAAATTCTTTGATAAATTCCTATTTTAAATTCTTTTATTGTCAAAATTTCTTCACCACTCTCAACAGCAAAATGGAAACTTTACTAAATTTTCTGTGGGTTCCGAGGAAAGCAGTATCTGAAGAACGATCATTGTAAAACATAACTTCTACCTTTCTAACAACGATTAACGAAAACTCATTCGCATGAGGGTCTAACTTTTTGTTTGTTTTCAAACATTAATTGTGAAATCATAGGAGCCAATTTTTTTTTTTTTTTTTACAAACAGTACCCATGCAAAAATTAAACTGAGATCTCGGCGAGATTAACAGAAAAGTAGATCTTAGTAATTTAAACCATTTTAAAACCATTTTGAGCTGTTTGTCTACAGCAGGCGAGTCGAGAGTCTCCGGCCTCCGGCTGGCAATCACTTTCGTTAGGGAGGAACAATAACGCCAAGCCAAACAGCGAGGCACAAATTAACTATAAAATTAAACTACACAAAAAGGCAACCAAACACACACGCTGAGATAAGTGAAGCTTATTCCCACATTTGTTCCTTTTAGTGTCTCGGGAACTGTATTCTGTCAGTGACTTTCGCTGTGTAAGAGATTTACACAAAAGCAGACGGCGTACTATCTATTTTTAATATTAACAAGCACTTAAATCAATAGCGAGCTTGAGCCAGGGCTTAAAATGAGACTAGTTTTCTTTGTGAAACAAGAAAAGAAATGGAGAAGAATAACTCATTTTCTACCGCTAGGATTTGAAACTAAAACTCTACAAAAAGAAAACGTCAGAAAAGAAGACAATTTCTGAAAGTTATCTTCATTTGTGACAAATTAGCATAAATGGAAGTTTACTTAGTTGCTAATAAATAGTTATTTCATTTTATTTATATTGTATATAATCTTTTCCTTTCCGGCTGAAAGAGAGGTTGTTTTTGTTATGAATTTTTTTCTCTGAGACCGTTTAGAGCAAATTCAAACTTCTTGTGTTTGCTTATGTAAGACGTTTCTCATTTTTCCCCTACAAATGGTCCATTTGTTCCTCTTTAGCGAATAAGATATATGAAGTCAAAGACGCATTTCAATTGCTGTACAGTCCGGGCCAACAAAGCTACTGAAACTCAGCGAAGATGAACCCCTCTAAAAACTGAGGAAAACTTCGAGACACTAGTTATAATCGATTGAATCTGGGGACCCCGAAATTTTTCTGCCACGGGTATAAAAAGCTGAACGGAAATACTTTATTTACATTGAAACGCGACAAGTTTCTATCGTGTTGAGAATTAAATTAGAATTTTCACTTTGTGATATAATTTGGGCTTAGGAGGGAACGTGAAATTACACTGAATACGTTACTAATGAACCAGGTATTGCAATTGTAATGGCGTTGATCCTTCGAAGCCCTTCCCGAAAGCCGGATGGTTAAGTGATCACTGATTAGCCATAACACAAACAACTCGCTTTTGTTTTCAGTGAACAACTTTACAAAACGCGATACAGGTAAAATACCGATAGGGACATGGCAGGGAGATATGTACTCTCCCCACCTCTAAGAAGGCCTCATTCTTGTATTTTACTTCCTTTGCATTACCACAACTTCATTTATAAGTAAAGGCTCAACAGTGTTCTTAGGCAAGGAAACCTCAATTGAAAGTTACACTATTTTAATCATTGCTTAATATGCACAATGAGTTTTGAGGAACCGGGCTCGAATGTACTCTCGCGTCAGAAGCATGGCGTCCTCTCGTAATAGAACAGTGAAACCGTGAAACTCGATTCAAATTGAAGAAGACGTACAATTTTTAGAAACGTTAGTTGACTCTTTTTGACAGAGTGAAGAATTGCTCCTGATAATTATGCAATAAAGCATGACGACAAGCCTTTCAATTTCATTTGTATTCAAAGGACGCGAATTTCGTTCATGTGACTGGATTAACCGTCTTTCAGAGTCTGCGATTGATTAAAAAAAAAATCGTATTTTTGAGCCCAAAAGGTTTAGCGAAAAAACAACCCAAATACCCCAGCATGGAATCTCACCAGCCTTATCATTGAGTTTTATCTGTTCCGTACTTTTCTGAACAAACAAGAGAATTTTACATTTTTACCCGACAGACTTCCGTTTTTGTCTAACACCAGTGTCTAAAAGCAACATCACGGAAGTTCCCTGAAAGCAACAAAGATATTCATTGTTGATAAATAAAACTATGAAAGACGCTTCGATATATCAAAAAAGGGTATCAACCTCCTTCTTTCTTACTTTAAGTTGAGTGCTCGCAACCCGGAATTTAGGGGTCAGATCACGAACTGGTGGCATTCTGAAGCCAACGTATTCCGGAGTCATTTCTTTTTATACTGTTCGTCATGTAATTCATGAGTACGTAGAAAGAAAAAAGGCTGGCTGGGAACTGGAAGCATGAGAGTTAATCGATAATTTTCTTTAACTCTCCACTTCTTTCGAACGCCTCAGTCCCAGACTCGTACCCAGTCACTATTTATGTGTATTTGAAGTGAGGGAAGTGAGAGAAGATTGAGTTTAGGTTGAGCGCGCGGGACGCATGGGAAGGGATTTCCCGCAAGCCTCAACCTAGCCCAATCTTCTCTCACCCCAAAGACATGTAAAAAGCGACTAGCGACTCAATCCCGGCCTATCGACCAAACGACGACGTTACCAGACACCGAGGTTTTTTGCCGGCGACTCGCCACTCAACAGGAAGCCCCAGGCAAATGGGACGAGAGTTAGCCGGGTACTACTTACTCTCTATCCGATGGCTTGTAAAATCGACATGAAAAATACTCCTGCCTACAATGAACACCTTGTGTTCAGACTGCTTCGAAGAGTGGCGCAGAAACCTATTAGATAGGTGACTGTCCACTGTAAAGATCGGTGAGGCGCAGCTTCGCTCTGATCTGTTTAACACGAGGCTCAAATATACCATTTTTCGTAATGTAGCCATAACCCGAGGCTTTAAATTACTAGAGACTTCTTTAAACAACCGAGCAGCCTATACTGACTACTAGACAAATCTCACTCAATTAAACATGACAGGTGTAATTCGGGATCTATAGAATTAAGCCCTGGATCTTTACAAACTGTTAGGTTTTTTAAAGTGCGTCGGTCTTCCGTTAAGCATTTTCAAGATATCCCATGGCACTAATTTAAGCAGGAGCACATAGTTATAGAGACATTAATAACAAAACAGCAAAGAGAAAAGCGACTTGGGGTTTCCCGATATTTCGGATGGACAAGCCTTCCTTCTTCAGGGGATTTAATGAAGAATCGGAAAGTCGTTACAATTCAAATGTTGGAAATTTGATACAAAACTAATCAAGAGTTAAAAATCTAAATGGGCCAATAATAATTATATTCCATAAATCTTCCAATTTCATTTACAAAATTAAGTATGACTGCATCAGAAGACCGGCCACGCCCTGTTTTATAGAAATATCCTTTGATTCGAAAATTCTCTCGGTTAGAGGGTGAACGTTTTTCCTAAGGATTACGCACAATAGAAACTAAACACGCTCTGTCTTTTAAAAACGATCGAATGAGACGAGTTCATTTAACGTCTGCTTCCTGGCGAAATTTTTAATCAGAGGAGGACTGACAATTTTCAGTCATTTTGAGCTGATTTCGTAACACTCTTTAAGATCAATGCTTTTATACATGTACAGAGGAATTTGAGCAAAACATGTAGCAAAAGGTGGAATAGTTGGTTGTAACTTCCTTTTTGAGTTTCTTTTAATTTGTTGTTGTTTTTCTTAATTTTACCATTCACTACCACCTCTTTAATGCTCTTAACTTTGCTTTAGCAAAATGTGTATTAGAATCAATATTTATAATGATTTAGAACCAGGGTGCCAAAAACGTTTTGTGCCCTAGCGTTCCCTCGCATCAAACGGCTTGAAATTGTACCTGGGAAAAACGGAGAGTGGGGAAACTTATCCCTTTTATCCCCATTTATTTATTTTATTTATTTTATTTATTTATTTACTTCCCCCTCCTCCTCTCTTTTACGTTATCAACGCTCTCTGCGTCTTTGGCATACTCAAACTGAAAGCGTGGTGAAAAAAAGGGGAAAGAACTAGAAAAAAAAAGGTCAGTCATGTTTCCTTCCTCGCTGGCATTGGCTGAATAACTATTTGAATTATTATAATTGCGCATAAAGACAGACTTTTCTGCTGATTCCTGTCAAATTACAACGTCAGGATTAGCAGCTTTTAAACTTGGGATAAGATTTGCTCAAAAGTTCCAGTACGGAGTTATTTCTTTCGACTCATCTCTTAAAATGCCTTTCATTTTTAATTTTAGTCAGTTATACACACTCTATCGATTCTTTTATTTAAATCTTAAAATACCCATTACAGAAGTAACGCACTATTCATTGGAAACAGTTTTGACATATCTACTAGAAAATGGCTTATTCTATTACAGAGCGACTACCTGAATCCGAGGCTCTTGGAAGAAGATTGTCCAATCAGAATGATTTCTGCAAACAAAACATTATTAAGTGTTTTGCAAACGGACCAATAACCTTCGTAAATTTGAGGGCTGTTTCCCGAGAGGTCAGTAAGTTCAAACGACGTGAAAGTTTTCAGTGGTTGCATATAGTTGAATCTTGAATTTTATTGGTCCGTTTGCAAAAATACTTGAGAATCTTTTCTTTTCAGAAATCGTTGCGATTGGACAATCTTCTTTCAAGTGCCCCGGTTCGAGTAGTCGCCGCACAGTAAAGCAAATCAACCTTTTTAATGAGACCTCCATTTATTAAACTTGTAACGTTGTAGTGCAGTCACCATGTTGTTTGCAACAAAAACGTTTTATTAATAAAAAAGACGATTTTGCCACTCAGCAATTAGTTGACTTTCAAATCAAATACGCGCCAAAGTAGGTGTGAATGCTGTTCATGAAAACTCGGAAATTGGCATAAGCAGAACCAAACGTGATGACGTCACCAGCTTTCAGGTGAAAAACTCCACCTACGTACATGGTACTCGAAGTTGTAGGTGATTGAATCATGGTGATGACTCGGTTGTTTGCACGAACATAGACTCTTTCTGGCGTTATGCAGTAGATCTGCAGGTAAATATAGTACCGTCCAGTACAGCACAGTCAGTTTTCCATCCTGGTACTTCATGCCGCCTGCAAGATGGCTGAACGGGGCACTGACTGACCAGTCTTTGATCACTAGAAAAAAAAATTAAGGGAAGAATTATACTGACGCGGTAGCGGGTTAAAGATAAAAAAATGTTCATGGTCGTTTTTTTCTGTTTCTCTTTGGAGTTTTAAAACTATGATAAACAACTAACATTCAACGAACATTAACGTTTGGACGCTTAAAAGGTGGCCCGGGGTCTCAAATCTTTTGAAAACTGTTTCGAACCAAAACTTCTTTTCCTCAGTCCCCTGAAAAGCGCGAGAGATTCGGTGGGAGGGAGAGAAGAGGGAATCTGGTAAAAAAAACTTGCTTATCCCATAATACTTTCACGATATTTTGGGCCTATCACAATCTTCCCGATCAGCCACTCCCAAATGACCTTGTCATGTGGCAGTTAAAAGAGAAAGCTTAAAAAAAGAACTCTTTTAAATGCCTGCTTTGAGAGTTTAGTATCTATGTGTCGGGGTGTTATAAACTGAGACATAGTTGAAGTACTTATGTTGGCCTGATAAGTCTTGTGTCTTAGGTTGGCAGCTTCGATGTGAGCAGATGGCTTCTTTGGATCCTTTGGCAGGAAAAAAAGAAAACATAAAGGAATATTGGCAGATTATTGAGGAGTGACTGAAGTCAATCAAATTAGTCAAAGAAGCAGAACGTAAATTATAACCGTATAGCTACTGAGTATAGAATGTAAACTGACTTTCTGTTCCAGGGAAGAGATGACTGCCGCCATTCCGCATTGCATCTTGCCTCCGGGGATTTTTGGCCGAGAGAAGCTTATTTTTTTCTCAAGTTACACAATTTATACTACTACATTAGAAATTTCTGCAATTTGATTGGCTTAGAGCAGTGGTATTTCAGCTTAATTTGAATACTTACATGTGAAAATTCAAAACCTTTGCGGGTAGTAGTGTGAACAAATAATAGCATGATTTGTACGTGATATTTGGCATAAGTACCACTCGTGATATTCAAAATTTTTGTCTCAAATTTCACTCGCCTAACGGCTCGTGAAATTACGTACAACAGTTTCGAAATATCACTCGTGGTATTTTTGCCAAATATCACTACAAATCATGCTATTACCTTTACTAATTGTTTGTAAGTCTATCGATAATGTACGAAAAATGGAACTGAAACTCAAAAACCCGCATTTAACTAGTTTTCCAGATCTTTTGACGTCGATACTATGCAAACAGAATAGATTTCTTGATGGAGACGTTAAATGCATCACTGATGACATTTCCAGAAAATACTTAAAAGCTTTGAAAAAAAATCAATATCCTTTCTTGCATCTTTTGCCTCTTTAATACAGTTGAATTAGTCATGCGCTTTCCGACAAGCAGAAGTATTCCCTGCTCCTATGTGACTTTGTGTATTGTTATTTTTAATACATAACAATTATTCACCGAAGTGGAGGTTAATTATTCACCACTAGCCACTGACACTGAGGTGAATAATTGTTTTAGTATACACTAAAACAGTGAGATAATTGAGGAAAAAAATGATGATTTTTAACTAATTTACTGTTGCCAACGATTACAATTTTGGTGCGCAATGACCGAACAGCCGCGGTCGTCGCTTTTTCTTGCCGACAAATAAAACTTTTGAAGGCATTTCTTTAGCTCTTGAGGAGAAATTTCTTCAAAAGGAGTTGTAAATTCTTTTTGCACGTAAAATTATTCTGTAAAAAAGATTATTAAATTTAGTTTTTTAAAGCATATTTATGAACAAGTCAACGAAATAAAGTAACGCAAGACTTAAGCTTAATTTGCACTTGTAAGCAGAAAACTTTTTCACCGCTTTTGTCGATAAATTCAAGTAAAAAAGACAAAGCCTTACCTGTTAAAACTGCCAAACCGAACTTTGTGACCTTCTTCGTGTATTTCGGGAACAGCTTACTTGATTAGTTGTGAAATTTATTTGTTTGTTACGGTAGCAAACTGGGATGCCATTTCTCTCGCAACTTACGCGAGTTTGGCGTCACTCTCTCGGAGGAACTGGAGGTGAATCAGTGAATAATGCAGGATATTCACTGATTGAGTAGCCAATCAGAGCGCGCGAAAAACACTATCCACTGTTTTAGTACATACTAAAACATATTATTTACCTGTAAAGAACATTGACAAGGAGTTCCGTTGTCTCCTTTGACTCCCGTGTCTCCTTTGACGCCCGTGTCTCCGTTGACGCCCGTATCTCCTTTGGCTCCCGTGTCTCCTTTGACGCCCTTTTCACCCTAATAGATTTGATACACAAGGGAATAGCAGAGCAGTTACTAAATTGGTGAAACTGTGAAAGGTTTGAACCCAGGGGTGACAGTGGCTTAAATGTTGTGCAGCCTCCATATAACAGTCTTGTTATGCACAACTCCTATTTATACATGATTGACCACATGTGGAATCAACTACCAACTGACACCAAATTCTCGAGCACTTTAGCACAATTTCGTGCTCGCCTGAATAATGTTAATTTCACAGCGTGCCAGTGTATATAATTTTATCAATTTTTACATTTTTACATTCTCTTGGGGTAGTTTATATATCTATAATTACATAGACCAGTAGGTGAACTACTAAAATCCTGAGTGCATGGGTGTTTAATACAAGTCTGTTTCGTAGGCCACCGAAAAGTCGTTTGGTGTAGACTTTAGCGGGTGCAACGGTGATGTTCTTCGTTAAGAGTTGAATGATATACGTTGCATCTTTGGTTCTTCGGTAAACAGTGCTCTACTAAGCAGGAGCTTAATTATTCAGTTAGATGTTCACCGGCGAAGCCAAGACAGTGCTCTACTTGCAGTGAAGGAGCGGAATAGACCAGTAGTCCTTTTAAAACTATTTTTGATGCATGTACTTAGGTTTATTTTATTTTTTTCCAAAAAATAGTTTCTTTAAAAATTTTTCCAAAATTACGATGAACTTAATAGTTAGGTTTTTTTATATTTATGCATATTTCACATTTTATCTTGTTTTGTATTTTTGCCCCAGCAGGGATTTCGCCCAGAAGGCGAAATTCCGAGGAGGCACTCTAGTAACTCGCGTGTATATTAAGGAAAGTACTTACAGTTGAAATATACAGTCAGTATGCCAGAAAAAAATCTCGATTTTCTGGAACAGGGGCCGCGAGGAATCGGTAGGTAATACGACGTTTCTATTGTTTGCGCCCGCAAAATGGTTAGGATGACGTAAAGACAGAAAGTCTCGAAGGGACCGCTTAGGTAAATTTTGTGACATTTATTGTGCAGTCAATTCGATACTCTTTTGCGTTACGTGTTATAAGTGACATTCTCTGGAGCACTTGTTTTGAAACGTATGGACCAAAAGACACTCGTTAAGCGCAGATGAAGTTATAAGGTGCGTACTGTGGATATATAAACACTTGGAGAGTTTGCCAGACACAAGTTCACAAATCTTTGATTGGAAACCTTGCCAGATACTCTTTCTCTTTCTTTGACCGGAATAAGACTCAGCCCCAAACATTAGCAAGACAAGTGAACAACGGCTAGCTTAGCACTAGCAGAACGGTGGACGATTACAGAAATTCGCCAACAATCATATTCTGTGCTGCCTTATTCCCTGCTCACAGATGTCCTTCCGCTATAAAGTTTAAAATAAGGCTAGAATTCGCGAGCGTGAATCAATCAAACGTCCTTTCAATTTCTAAGGCTTACTTTCCGGCAAATAAAATGAACTGAATGTAAAAAGTGAAAGAGAAATAGCGAAAAATTCAACTAATTAAATCTTTTCTTATGGTTTAGAAAAAACTATTCTCGAAACTGAGAATATTTTGATCAAAGCTGTGTAAATCGAACTGAAACTGTGAATGGAACCTTGCGTTTCCTATATTTATCTCACGTATTGTATGGAATATGTGTGAAAATCTTCATTATGAATCGGTATATTTCAAAGAGCTACACAACGAGCAAGAATACTGTTGACCGACAATATACAGAGCGGGGGCAGCTGTGGTGTCAACTATTACTAGTTTAGTTTGACGAGAGTTTTTAACATGAGCCTCGGGGTCGGAAGATTGTGCAAACACTTTTCTCGTCTTCGACATTAAATAAATAGAGAATAATACATGGTCGCGCGGAGATATACTGCAGTTTATATAATAAATTATTCTATTCTCTTCTATTCTAGGAGTCATGTCATAAGTAGGTTGAGTATGATCTTCCGGCTGAACATAGCCCTGAACAGGACTTTTGTTGTTGACAGTGACTGACGTTTCGACAACCTGTGCGTTAGGGACCGGTCATTATTTATTTTTTTGGGGGGGGGGGAGGGAGGAGGGGAAAAATTTCTGTAAGGTCCCCCCCTGCGGACCATGTAAATAGCAAGTGACCCCGCTTCTTTATTCAATTTTTTTTTCTATGATGAACCCCTCCCCCCCACCTCAAATCTTCTCTTATATGCTCTACAAAGTAATTATTGAAATGCATGTAACAATACCCCGTTAAGAGTGAAGACTTATTGGTAAATAAACATACTTATCATAAGATGATTAGTTACGTTGCATAACAGTGGAACTAGCCTACTCTATTACAAAATCAGCGTATAAATATAGGAAAAGTAATAGATTTTTACAAATCTAGCTTTCATGGTAAGAAATTCTTTTCAAATGATTTTCCTGCGGTTGTAAAAAGGACTACTTTCTCGTTGTATCATCATCTTATTCTTGGGTTATTGAGGTGACAAGCATTTTGTTAAAAGAAAATTCAGTCAAACCAAATATTAAATTAAAGCAGATAGATCTGGATTCTTTATTAGCTAAAATTTGAAATAAAAATGAAGTTTAGAGTGCAAACAGAATTTCTATCACATACAAATGACTAAGTTGTACAAAATAGTGATGCTTTAAATAAACAGAAAGCAACAGGATTAACATAAAATTGTACAATTTAGCATTACTGTTTCACAAATATTGTTTGCGCTCTACTATTTAACTGCTTTACCCATCTTGGCCAATGGACCCCTCTTAAAATACACCTAGCGATCAAACTGCTGACCCCCTAAACTTCCTTATAAAAAAGTTTAGCCCCCCCATCTACCCAATCTGATGAAATAGCCTTTACCCCCTTCTTTTTTTCCCTCCCCCCCTCTACATAAATAACGACGGGTCCCTTAGTCATCTTCATAGTCAAAGTGAGTTTTATCACGTCAGTTGATGGTATTAAACCCTCGTTATTGACCTGATTGGTCAATTTAGTCGCCATGTTGTTGGTCCTCTCTCAGTTAAGCCGTGATGTTATTGGCCATTATTATTCATTCAAAATATTTCCCCAATTCTGATTGGCTAAAAGCACACGAATAATTAACCATATTCAGTTAATGATGACCAAATTTGGAAGAATTTTGTGTTTAACGAGGAAATGACGTCAAACATGCAGCCCGCTACAGGTTAAGGCACCTTTACCGAGAAGACCTGGGGACTAGGTATAGTTGTCAAACCTTGTGAGAGGTCGGGTTGCACGATAATCTGTAGGTATGTGTCGGTTTTCTGTAAATTGTCGTTCGTAGTCTGTTGTTTTCGCGAGTGACCAAAGCAGTCTAGAAAAGGTTTTTTACCATT